CTACGCTAAACATGGATGCGTGCAGCCAAGACCCGTACGACGTTTAACCGACGATCACCACCCACACTACAACCAGAACAACCGAAGGAGCAGGATACCTTCGGTCCCTATCTTCGTATACCCCATATTTGGTATCATAAGGGTTATCTTGGGGTTTGTTGTGGGGCACATGCAGCGTGGTGCAGATGACGCTACACTTACCAGAGGACCTCGCTGTGACTCTGCGGGCAACGCGTTCAGGACCTACGTCCAGGAGGTTCGCGCATGGCTTAGCGTTGCTTGCGGCCGTTGTACACTGCAACAACAAGTGGCTGCCATCCAACGAGTCTTCCCAGGACTGGTACGCATCACAGCAATGCGCATACCATCACATGCCATCAGCCACGGTGTACATATCAAAAGTGTTAGAAGCGACCCAGTGACACACACCATGTATCTATTGAGTGGCAAGTTCGAGCACCTAGCATACGAACGCCAATTCGACTCGGGCACGCGACTAATGGGCTTTGGCGTGCCATCTGGAGAATGGATCGACGCGACACTGGCTTGATTTGATCTGACCTGGTTAGAGTCTGAACATGTTGGATTTGAGATCCATAATTTTCAGATCTTAACGTGCTCTTCAGATGTGGGCCGGACAGCCCGAGCATCGCAGATGCTGCGCCCGCTAGACCACCGAACGCACAGGAACCATGTCGAATTGAATGCGCTACTTGAGCGCGCGCGATCATCTGGCGACCTGGCCGAGCGCCCCCCCGGGAACGCTGGCGGGGCGTCTGGGCGAGGGCGCGGCAGCGCGTCCCCTTCCACTCGCGCCCAGACAGACCATGCATTCCTTGGCCGTTGCGCGTCGATGCAGCCGCTGGCCACCACGCATGGTTAGGCAGCTCCGCTGAAGGCTCAGCCCTCTTCGCCGGCCGGGCGCCCGGCAGACGGGCAGCTGGCGGCGCGGGCAGGGCCTGGGCACCGCCGACGAACCCAGCGTTGCATACCGCCGCCCTTCGGGGTCAAGATGGCCAGGCTGAACCCGTCGCGCCGCTTGAATGCGGCGCAGACGCCGGCGCCGAAGTTTCAGAAGGGGCATCATCAATCGATCAATCAGACATATTTACACGCATCTTACAGATGACCAGAAAGGAGAATTCCTATATTGCGCCATGCGCCATGCCAGGAGGAGCGGCGGGCGCGCGCGCGGGGCGGGGGGGCGGGGCGGGGGGGGGGGGGGCGCGAAGAGGCCTGCGCGTCGCGCGCGAAGAGATGACAGACGCGCGCTGCGCGCCGAAGGGCGGAGGAAGAGCACTGGGGGCATGGGGGGCGGGGGCCCCGGCGGGGGCGCGGCGAGGGCCTCGCCTCATTCTTAGCGTCCTTCTGTAACGGCGAGCACGACGGACTGTTCTCTGGAGACGCAGGTGAGAGCAGAGGTCGCGGATCCACTGGCAACGGGAAATGCAGACATCTGAGCCGCATAGGGATGGCCGTCGCGCGCCGCGCAACGCACTCGGCCCCCCGGCCACTTTGCGTCGCAGCGCAGCGAGAAAGGGTGACGGGGATCCCGCGGCGCATTCTGGTATAGCATTTTTCAGAGCGCGTGGATTGCGGCCAATTCTTTCACGCGGCGAACCAGCGCATTTAACCGTGATATCCTCTTGCAATGATGTTTCAGACAGCGCTGTGGGGTTTATGTGGCGTCTTTGCGATTCTCCTGCGCCATGCTTGCAGATGCTCGCGACGTTCTGGCTGCGGGCTGGACTTGGCGACGTTCCCGGGCCTTGGCCGCGGCGGCGCGATGGGGATCGGCGATTCGCCGCCTGCCCCGCCGTCGCCCCCAGCATCGACTGCGCCAGCCGCTTGGCGGGAGATCGACGCCGTGCTCGGCAGCGAGCCGGGGCAACAGGTTCTCGGCGCGTTGCCCAGCGACGGCTTTGTCTACCCATTCATTTCGGGCAATCCGCAGGCCCCTCGTCGCCTCGCCATTTGCGGCCAGAGCGCTGCGAGCGCCCCGCCTCGTGGTGGAGGGGGCGTCGACGACGGCGTCGCATGGTGCTGCATGGGCTGGGGGGGCGCAGGTCGCGACCGTAGCGCGGGGCCGCGAGCTCGCTCCACGGGCCCGCGACAACGCCTTGATGGCGGTCGCTGGTGGGGCGCTGCGTCGCTGGCTTGGAGAGATCGACGCGGCGGCGTCGTCCTCGCCCAGTTCGCCCGCGCTGCGAAGGCGGAACAGATGCGCCGCGCCGAGGGGGCTACCGTTGAGGATCGCGAAATCAGCCGCGTCTTTGAGTATGAAACACACGTGCGCCACAGGCCTGGCTGCCCCATGGGCTCAGAGTCCGGGGGCGTCAAAAGGGGCGCCACCCCGCGGGGCCCGGGGCACGGTGCCCGTGGCGCGCGGCACCTGGGCCCCGAGAGCCCCGCCGCCGCCGCGGCCGATGGCGGAGTCGCGCCCAGCATCGGGCTCAGGCGCGGCATCTTCCAGCCAGGCAATTGGCAGGGCAGGCCAGTCCGAAGTGCCACCATGCAAGGCACCTCCTGGGGGGGCGCGATCCGCGCGCGCCTCTCCTGCGCGTGGCCAGGCGCCTGGCTCTGGCGATCTTGCGCCGGTGCCATTCCCGGGCAGGCCCGCAGGGGCCCTTGCAACGGCTCCTCCTGCGGGGGCGCCTGCCGGCGCCGGGCCAGATGGTGCGTCGCCTGCCGATGGCAGTAGTCTTTGCGAGGGCGCCGCGCAATGCCCAGCTCCGCGCCGCCGAAACTACAATATTCCACATGGGCGGGGGCGACAGGGGATCGCCAGTCGAGGCCCATCAACCTCGAGGCGCCGATAGACGAGCAGCGACGTTTCGGGCTTCATGGCGCTCCTGGGCGGCGCGCCGTACAGCGCGCAGGAAACAATGCCGAAGCGGCTGTCTCGAGCATGGCGGCGCGACCCTTCCCGCGGAGACCAGCTGGACCGCCGTTTCGTCGAGTGTCGCGCGGCGGGTCCGCTGGCTGGGCGGAAGTGAACGACGCGATCAGCAACTGGCAAGGCCAGCGGGGCGCCCGGGCGCAGAGGGCGCGGTCGAAGCCGCGTTCAATGACATGGGCGCACTGCTCGAAAGGTACGCCCCGCCCTGCGTCGCCTGGGCGGTGGGCGGGAAGGGCCAGCGGCAGGGCCGCGCCCATGCTAAATTGTATTATCATAGTGGTGGAGGCGACCTGCATTACATTCGGGCCACCAGTGGGCATTGTTTCCCTGGGGTTGGAGCGCTTGTGAGCTCATGCCGGCAAGTTATGCAGGGCCATCGGGGCAACCTTCAAGAGGCGTTCGCGCGCGGGGCGACATGGGGGGCCATCTTGCAGGGGCGAGCACAGGGCCAACAAACGCGGAAGCGGGTGCCCATTCTTTCATGGGCGTCCGCAGCTGCTCCCGGCATGCGCCCCGACGCCGAGATTTGCGCGTTCCCATGGGTCCCGAGGGTGCGGGGGGATAGTCGGGGCATTTCTTGAAACCGGGATCCGCGTGCTGCTGCGCAAAGGCTACAATGACGTTGTCTCTTCGTTCTACATCGCGCACTTGGCGTTTCTTACTGGCCCCCAATTCGGGGGGGGATTCTGGTGCAACCCAATGTTCAATTCGGCGGATGAACATGCTCGTGTCTCACGGACTGAGCTCGACGATGCAAATGCATGGGTTGCGCCCCAGCGCCCGCTCGGCTAATCCGCTGGCTGGTACGCAGAACGTGTTTCGGGGGGGGGGGGGGGCATAGCCACCGAAAACGATCAAATCGGAGAAAAAAACTGATCGCCAGGGGGGTGCCACTGACACGGCCAGGGGGGCCACTGACAACGGCCAGGGGGTTCACCTGACAACGAACCGGGGGTCACTGACAACGGGCAGGGGGGGTCACTGACAACGGCCAGGGGGCCCACTGACAACGGCCAGGGGGCCCACTGACAACGACAGGGGGGGTCACTGACAACGGCCAGGGGGGGTCACTGACAACGGCCAGGGGGGGCGCTGACAACGGCCAGGGGGGTCCACTGACAACAGCCAGGGGGGGTCACTGACAATGGCCAGGGGGCCCACTGACAACGGCCAGGGGGTGGACTGACAACGCCGTCGGGCGGGCCTAGGGTGGTGGTGGTGAGCAGGAGAAGGCCATGGAGGAGGAGGAGGAGGAGGAGGAGGAGGAGGAGGAGGAAAAGGAGGGGGGACGATGGGGAGTCAGAGGAGGGCCGTTTGAGGAGGCCTCCCAAACGGGGTCCGAGTAGATGGGGTCGGAGGATCGCGCCGTATCACCGATGCATCATCACCGATGCATCACCGATGCATCGGCGATGCGATGCATCGGCGACACATCGGCGATGCATCGGCGCCATCGGCTCGGCGACGTGGGCGTGGACCTGGAAGAACTCGGGCTCCGCATCGAGCCGCATCGCCGATGCATCGGCGATGCGGAGCGAGCCTCCGACCCCATCTACTCGGACCTCGTCTAGGAGTGGCCTTCGGGGGCCCCCCGCTCGCCGCAGCCTTTGGGCTTGCAGGGCGGCGGCGGGGGCTATGGAGGGCGAGGACGTCCTCGACGACCTCTTCGACGAGGATCCCTCCCCCCGCTTCCAAGAGGGATTTAGCAGCCAGGCCCTGGGGCCCCTGGCCCGCGGGCTGGGGGGTCCAGGGGTCTGGCTACTAAATGGGCCTCTTGGGCCTCTTCTCCGAGGACGACGGCGCCGCGCCGCCGCCCGGCGAGGCTGCCGCCCCGGCGCCGGCGCCGGCGCCGGCGCCGGCGGCAGCAGCGCCGGCGGCTGGGTCGCTGGCGAGGCCCGTCCGGCACGCGCTGCGCCGTGCCCGGCGCACCACGGCGCAGCAGGCGGATGCGGCTCGCGGCCTGCGCCGGGAGAATGCGAGGCCACGGGGCCAAACGGAGGATGGCGGTGGGAGGGGGGAGGAGGAGGACGTCGGGTTTCGTGGAGGCGGGGGGGGAAGGGGGAGGGCGAGGGGGAAGGACGGGCGCGCCGAACCTCCCCAGGCTTCGGCGGGCCCTGTCCGACGTCAACACCACGCAGGCAGGCGTCCTGGCACAGGCCGCCAGCTCCATCAACGCCCGCGGGGCACCGCGGGCTGGCGTGGAGGTCGGCCGCCGGAGGAGAAGAGGAGGAAGAGGAGGAGGAGGAGGAGGAGGAGAAGGAGGAGGAGAAGAGAGAAAAAGGAAGAAGGGAAGGAGGAGGAGGAGGAGGAGCAGGAGGAGGGGGAGGAGGAGGAGGAGGAGGGGGAGGAGGAGGAGGAGGAGGAGGGGGAGGAGGAGCCAAGGTGATGCGTGGTCCTGAGGCCCATCCCCAAGAGCCCCCCAGTCAAAAGAGGGGGAGGAGTTGGAGGAGGACGAGGAAGGGGAGGAAGGGGAGGAGGGGGGGAGGGGGGGAGCCCGAGGTCATCGTTCATCGCCCTGGCAGGGCCAGGGCCAAGGCGGCCAGCGCGCACCGCGCGAAGGCTGGTCAATCTCCCCTCTCCCCCCAAGATCGCGCCGCATCGCCGATGCATAGGCGATGCGACTCGATGCGGGGCCCGAATTTCTCTCCACGCTGACGTCTCCAGCGTGTCCTCGATGTTGTCGCCGATGCATCGCCGATGTCTCTTCGATGCATCGCCGTTGCGGCGCGATCGTTTGACCCCATCTAGTCGGACCCCATCGGAGGCCTCCATGCTCCTCCTCCCCCCTTTATTTCCCCGCTCTCCCACCTCGCTCTTCGATATTCGATCCCTCGCCCCCCACCCCCCCTCTCTGCCTTCCCCCCCCTGTGCGGGCGGAGGCGTTTCCGAGGCTGCGGCTGCAGACCCTGGGGGATTCCTTATCTGATGAGGGCGGCGGGCTTCGATTGGAGTTCCACCGGCCTCCAGGCGCTGGCGCCCTTATAACTTATACATGGGAGGGGGCCGAGGGCTCCGAAGGGCCCCGCGACTTTTCGCCAGTCGACTTGTGGGGGTCGGGCCAGATAAATCCAGGTTAGATCCAGGTAAACGGTAAATCGTGGCCCGCCCTTTCGCCCTCCCCCCCCCCGTCCCGTTGCGCTCGCAGGCTAGCAAGCTATCGCTGCGCCTCGGGGTGCGCAAGGCCAAGGTCAGGGGCAAAGGCAAGTACCAGAGCATCGGGCCCAAGTGCAGGATCCAGGTCGCGTTCGACGAGGACTTTCTCTCCCCCGCCCCTCCCTCCCTCCCTCGCTGCCGCCGTCGGTGATGATGGTGATGATGATGACGATGATGATGATGATGATGATGACGATGATGATGATGATGGTGATGATGATGATGATGATGAGGATGATGATAGAGGAAAGAGAGCTATGCACATACACCCGTTCTGGCCAGGCCCATCCTGAGCCCAGGATCGGCGCATGCGCCCTCGCGGCTTGGCCAGGGGGGCACATGCATCGATTACCTGGCTGGGCCCTAGGGTGGGCCTGGCCAGGGATCGGTGCATGTGCATGGGCTGCATAGGTCTGCTCGCCTGAGATGGACGGGCGGGCGCGGCACCGTCCGTAACCAGTTTGGTTCGGTCAGCCCTGGCCCTTCGGCGCTCGCGCCATGCATGCCGCGCCCGCGTCGCCCGCGTCGCTCGCCGACGCCGCCGCGTCGCTCGCCGACGCCGCCCCCTCGCTCCAGCCGCTCGCCGACGCCGCCCCCTCGCTCGCCGACGCCGCCCCCTCGCTCCAGCCGCTCGCCGACGCCGCCCCCTCGCTCGCCGACGCCGCCCCCGGGCCCCTGCACGGCGCCCCGTCGCACGCCGACGCCGCCCCCCTGCGGGGCCATCCTGCCCCAGCCGAGCCCGCTGCGCGGCCCGGGGCGGGTTCGAGGCCAGGGGCGGCCGCAGCCGGGCGCCGCGGCTCGCCGCGACGCGGGCCGCAGCGGCGCGGGCGGGGCGGGCGGCGCGGCGCGAGGAGCCGCGGCGCTGCAGCGCGAGCCGCGGCGCGAGGGCGGTGCTCTGGGCCGCCCAGATGGGGTCGGAGCACGTGGGGTCGGAAGGTCGCGCCGCGTCGTCGATGCTGCATCGGCGATGCGGCTCGATGTGTAGCCCGATTTTCTCCGGGATGGCGTCGCCGATGCATCGCGCCGACGTCGCTGATGCATCGCCGCCGATGCATCGGCGATGCATCGCCCTTATATTGGCGACGCGGCGCGATCCTCCGACCCCATCTCCCATCTCCCATCTAGGAAGCCTCTAGGCGCGGCGCGGGCGGCGAGCCGCGAGGACGGCGCGATGGCGGCGCAGCGCGGAGCCGCGGCGCGGGCGGCGAGCCGCAAGGAGCCGCGGCGCCAGAAGCGGCGGGGCAGGCGGGCGGGTCGCAAGCGCCGCAGACGGGAGCCGCGAGGATCCTCGGCGCGGGCGGCGAGCCGCAAGGAGCCGCGGCGCCAGAAGCGGGGCGGGCGGATGGGCAGCAGCCGCAGCCAGGAGATGCGAGGAGCCGCGGCGCGGGCGGCGAGCCGCAAGGAGCCGCGGCGCGATGAGAGGCGGGGCAGGCGGGTGAGCCGCACCCGCAGCCAGGAGCTGCGAGGAGCCGCGGCGCGGGCGGCGAGCCGCGAGGAGCCGCGGCGCGATGGGGCGGGGCAGGCGGGTGAGCCGCAGCCGCAGCCAGGGGCCGCGAGGAGACGCGGCGCGGGCGGCGAGCCGCGAAGAGCCAGGCGGGCGATCGGGCAGCAGCCAGGAGCCGCGAGGGGCGGCGGCGCAGCCCGAGCCGCTGGTCCTGGCGAAGCGGAGTCCTGGCGAGGACACGGCGCACAGCCGTCTGCACTACGTGGACACGGTGCCTCCTCCTCCCCCTCCTCTTATTCTTCTTCCTCCTCCTCCTCCTCCTCGTCCTCCTCCTCCTCCTCTTCCTCCTCCTCCTCCCCTTCCTCTTCCATTCCATCCCATTCCTCCTCCTCCTCCTCCTCCTCCTCCTCTTCCTCCTCCTCCTCCTCCCCCTCCCCCTCCTCCTTCGGCGCGAACGAAATGGGCGCGGAAACAAAAGGTATACGACAATGCCCAACCACAGTTCTTGTTCATTTTGAAAAGGACTCGCTGTCGTTGTCGCCGCGGCCCCTGTCCATTTGAGACAGCGGCTGCTGTTGGTTTGTTGGGGCAACATTTGTCGCTGGGCATTGCGCCCATTCTTTCCGCGCCCATTTCGGGCGTCTAAGCTGCCCCCCCCCTCCTCCCCCTCCCCCCCTCGAGGGCAGAGACGTCGTCCTCTGCAGCAGACGCACGTCAGGAGGTTTGGTGTGGTACGGCCGAGATCTCCAGGGCCAAATCATGCAGCCCCCAGTCGGATGGCTCGGCGTCGGCGACATCACGCAGGTGACGCCGGGCGAGGACTCGGGGCGACCGACATGGGCACGGGAAGAATGGGTACGAAGACCGACGGCAGTTCTTGTTCATTTTGAACCGGATTCGCTGTCGACGTCGCCGCGGATCGTCTCCATTCGACACAGAAAGCCGCCTGCCAAACAGCGGCCGCTGTAAGTTCGGGACAACATTGGGTATTGTGCCCGTTGTTTCCGCGCCCATCTCGGGCGTCAAAAAGGACGGCGGGCAGGTGGTCATCGTGATTATGCGGTCGTACAGGGCCACCCTCTGGATCAAGCTGAACGCGGGCGCGGGCGAGGCCCGCGATGGGGGGCTTGATGACGGTCACGTACCACGGGCCAGGCCAATGGAGTGTATGGCACTACCCGCCGCCAGAGCCTGGGGCTGCGTCGACGAACCCCGCTGAGTTGCCGTCACCGTCGACTCCGTGGGATTGAAAATAACCACGCCATCATCACCATCACCATCAGAATCACCATCATCATCATCATCATTATCATCATCATCACCATCACTGACCATCACCACCACCACCACCATCATCATCATCATCATCATCATCCTCATCATCATCATCATCATCATCCGTTTTTCCCGGCGGAGCCAGGTGAAATTCCGTGCCCGCCGGCTGATTGATGACTGACTGACTGAACGTCAGGGGACAGCTCGGGAGACACATTTCAAACCGCCCGCGGGAGCGCAACCCGAGCGCGCAACCGCAACCGCAACCGCAACCGGGCGACACATTTCAAAGCTCCCGCGGGCGCGCGCAACCGCAACCGGGCGACGCATTTCAAAGCGCCCGCAGGCGCGCAAACGCAACCCAACAACCGCAACCGGGCGACACATTTCAAAGCGCCCGCGGGAGCGCAACCCGAGCGCGCAACCGCAACCGCAACCGCAACCGGGCGACACATTTCAAAGCGCCCGCGGGCGCGCAACCGCAACCCAACTGGGCGACACATTTCAAAGCTCCCGCGGGAGCGCGCAACCGCAACCCAACCGGGCGACACAACCGGGCGACACAGTTTCAAAGCGCCCGCGGGAGCGCACCGCACCGCAACCGTCGACGCATTTCACGCGGCCTCGGCGGGAAGCGCGCAACCGCAACGCAAACCGCAACCGGCGACGCAATTTCAAAGCGCCCGCGGGCGCGCACCGCAACCGCAACCGGGGCGCCACCGCCGCATTTCAAAGCGCCCGCGGGAGCGCGCAACCGCAACCGCAACCGCACCGTGCGACCACATTTTGAAGCCCTCGGGCGAGGGGGGACAAACGCCATGGCACCGGGACCACACATTTCAAAGCGCCCGCGGGCGCGCAACCGCAACCGCAACTGGGCGACACATTTCAAAGCGCCCGCGGGAGCGCGCAACCGCAACCCAACCGGGCGACACATTTCAAAGCGCCCGCGTTTCATCATCATCATCATCATCATCATCATCATCATCAGCATCATCATCATCATTACTTGTTCGAGACCTGGGGGGGCCCAAGACGGGCCAGCTGGGCCCCATGGGGCCCTCAAGACGGCCCAAGAAACCCCCGAATCACCGAACGTTCGTTCCAATGCGTTCAAGATGGCATGGCCCACCTCCTCTTCCTCTTCCTCCTCCTCCTCCTCCATTTCCCTCCTCCTCCTCCTCCTCCTCCTCCCTCTTCCTCCTCCTCCCTCTCCCTCCTCCTCCTCCTCCCTCCTCCTCCTCCTCCTCCTCCCTCTCCCTCCCTCCTCCCTCCTCCTCCTCCTCCTCCTCCCTCTCCCTCCTCCTCCTCCTCCTTCCTTCCTCCTCCTCCTCCTCCTCCTCCTCCTCCCTCCTCGTCTTCCTCCTCCTCCTCCTCCTCCGCCTTCTCCCTCCTCTTTCAAACGCTCCCCCCCCTCGGCCCAGGACAATTGCCTTCGGGCGGTTGGCAGGAAATTCGAGCTCGCGCACCAGAGCGTTGCCCGGAACAACATGTTCGTCAGCAGTCGTTTCCTGGCTGCCCAGTCCGCGTGGTTGGACCGGCTCGTCGAAGCCGCGGAGCTCGGGCCAGACGAAAGGGGGGGATTGGGAACGGGGGGGGGTACGAAATTTGTTGCGCGCAGCTGGTTTCGGCCCCACCGAAAGGACCATTCCTCGATGCATGACTGACCGCCTCTGGCGCCAGGAGGCGCCAGGAAAATCAGCTACGTGAGCTGATTCTGATTCTCACCCCCCCCTTTGCCATCCCCCCCTTTCGCCCGACCCGAGAAGCACCACCGGCCGATCGCTATCAGCATTGGCCGCAAGTGGGGCGAGACGCGGGAGAGGGTGACCGTCGACGGAGTCATCGAGTCCAAGGACTCGGGTGGGTGGGTGGGTGAAAATAGTGACCCTGGAGGGGCCCTCGAACATATTTTTTCGGGCCCCAAGGGCCCCCGCGGGGCCTTGGGCCTTGGCGAGCCCCTTCCTTCACCCCCGCCCTTTATGGTCGCCCCCCTCACCATCCATCCGATCCCCCCCCTCGCCCGTCTTGCCCCACCCCTCCTCATTTTTTTTCTTTTCCATACTCAGGCTCTGCCTAGAAGGGTTCTTACTCTCTGGGCAGTGGAAAGCGCCCCGGGCGGTTCCCCCAGCCGCCCCGCGGTCCCCCCAGTGTTGCGCCCCCTTAGCTTAGCGTTGTTTATCTCATCTTAGCTTGGACTATTGCATCTTAGTTTAGTTTAGCTTCATCTGAGCTCAGGTTTACCTTAGCTTAGCTTACCTTCATCTTAGCTTCGCTGAGCTTTAGCATAGCAGAGCACGGCATAGCGTAGCATAGCATAGCGCATCATAGCATTAGCATGGGTGTAATTCCCTACCGACCTAGAC